GAAGGTATGGTTGAGGATTTTCACAAAAATTTGTGAAAATCCTCAACCATACCTTCAACTAAATAGTCCTTTAAGGCAATTAGGGGAACTCAGATCATTAATTGGAGCCAAATACCAACAAACCCTGTTCTTAGAGAACTTAGTAAACCATAGCTGCAGGATGAGATAAATTGTTGTTGTGACTTTTCCTTCTACACCCACAGATGAGGAAGCAGATCACAATGGATTCCAAAAAACATCCCATCACACCAGGAAGTCCAGCTCCTTTGACATAGGTACATTACTGCACTTTTACATTGTCTGTTCCAGCCCCCCCGTGGCTGTTTCTATGTTTATTGTGCTACAGAGTGCATGCACACGAGTATAAATGCATCTCTAAATGCATTTCTTCAGAACAATATCATTCATAAAGACCTTTTCTTTCATTTTTATACCTAATGAACTCAGCATGGGTGTGATATTTGATGTGCTCCCTAGCCTTTAGACTGTGCCTCACGTTATTGCTTCCACCTCCCACTCCCTGTTTTTGTTTTTAATTCCCACACCCCGCTGTGTGTATGTCTCCCACCATTTCCCCTCTCAGGCATGGAAAGGGACATTCCCTATGATCTCGAGAGGTCCTCAGATCGCAGATTCCCTGTGAACAAAACCACCTTTCCCCAGTACAGAAACAGATCCCTGGACTGCTCTACTGGGACTGGGTGTATGTATTTGTTTGAATCCCTTTCTAATATGTGTGGTATGACAGGTAACCATCTCCTACATTATATTTTGTATAAATTTAGTTTAGTTTTTTTGTAAATTATATATTAGATCTATTTATGTTTTTCAGTGATTGCTATATCCTTAACCTCCTTTTTAATATGCTCTTCATGCATGAGTCATACCCTACATACTAAAAGCGAGAATGTGCCATTTAATAAATGGTTGATCAAAGTAAGAGATGATAAAATATAATTTAAAGGAATAATCTGGATCATTGCCAGGCATGTCTCATTGCTGCTGGCAGCTTTCAGTGCAAATTGATATCTACTTCCCCATTTCCACCTTTTTATGTCTCATGCTTAATTCTGTTCTTGGTTCCATTATTGTGATAATTGCTAGACAAGTTTAGCTGATTCATCATCATTTTCCACTCTAAGCAGTGTGGTGCTGAAGAAGTCAACCTCAAGGCACTGCGACTAAAAGAATGCTAATGACATGGCTAAACCACTGCCAATTACTCTCCTAACCCAGGGCAGTATATCTTAACATTCTGCAGCAGGAACCTTCAACACCGAGAAAAAAGGATGAGCACATCCTAGATTTGTTAGTAGCAGAGCTAATTATTTCAGGAATAAAAAGTCTGAAGGCCATCTGTGATCTGTCAAATCAAGCAGTGGATCACAGTCATAATTTAGATTTTCTTTCACTCCTTTTGGGTCGGTACTTGGCGCAGGCTGCCCTTTAAAATGGCATGACAGTTCTTCTAAGAAAATAAACTGATGATAATGGCTTAGTCTCAAGGTGTTTTTTCCAGAAACACATCGAGGTCACCTAAATTTTTTCCTGGTATATATTTAAAGGTATAGTAAAGGATTTTTTTCCCCCAGGTGGATCATCAAAATAGGTGGTCCTCTGAATTCTTAATCATTCTGGTGATACGTTTACATAAGGCCGTCCTTCGTGATCGTCCCCAGTTAGCTATCTATTTTTGGGCATCCACACTTTCAGGCGTATATATGTAGTGAGCTACGGTTTCAGACAGTCATTGAAGCTCAACCTTCTCACCCTGTTTCTTTGAAAAAAGGCCAATGGTTGTAAGAGAAAAATTATCTATGAAGTGTATGAGAAGAAAAGAAAGGCCTCAGAAGAGGCAGATATACCCCGGAATGCTTTGCACATAGAGCTCTCCTCACAACTAATAACTAAGATGGCACTGGCACCGTGTGCTGGAAGTTCACTATTAAGTCCACTACTGTATATAGGAAGGATTTAAGTCTGATGTACACTGTGTGATTTTCGGGGCAAGAATCTTTCGATTGGGCCGACTTTCAGCCTGATCGTGGGTTGTGAATCGTGTAGTGTACAGGGTGTTACGAGGGGCAATCTGACTCTCACGATCGCCTCCCGATCAGGAATCGTAAGGTCGGGAGAAAATCAAACATGTTTAATTTTTCTCCCGACCGTCATGGGCAAATCGCTCAGGGCGCATGCGCAAACAAGGATTCTTCTTTTTATTCTTCCTCTCAGATGTGAACACAGCAGCGTGGCAGGGATGCAATTTGTGAAATGCAGTTAAACATGGCTTTCAGCATAAAATTTCTCAGCAGCTCCAACTCACAGCAAAGCTGAATTCGACGTGGTTTTTAGTCATACTGTGTGAGCAGGTAGATCGCCTCAGAGTGTCGGGCCGAACATAAATCGTGAGCTGTGAGCTCACACTGTACAACTAAACCCTGCGTTTGATTTGATTTGATGGTCATGGTGATGAATCCGGCTTCACAGAAACATTTGCATCATCTGCAAGAAACATCCTACAGCTTGCTACTTTAACAGTTAGCATGACCACAGAAATTGCCAGGAAGCTAAATGTGCTTAAACTAAAAAATGTGCTAAAACTCAGCAAGTATGCTGAGTTTTATCCTTTATACAAGTTCAACTGGAATAGAAAATCATAATATTTCAAGAATCAAACAGGACAAAAGTTTGTTTACTCTACAGGGAATACTCACTGCTTTAAGTGGCTACTTGTGTTAATTCACAATCAGATCGCTAAAGCTTGCTCTAATGTGAACTCGAACCCATTTATCCACAGAGCTGTGTGTGAGCCAAATATGAATATTTATGGTAATGAAAAAAAATCAACTCAAGGCTCATGCATAGTTGCATCAAGTAAGAAATGTATCACATAACATTATAAAAAGGAACATTTTCTTTTCAAATATCAAGCTTGAGATGGCTATTTTTCTATCAGTTTTTCATTTTAATGGATCTTATAACATGCAGTGAACACCTTTTATTTTTTAACACACCAAACTAAATATGCTGCAATTATTTTAGGCCTTGTTTTATGCGTAATCATTTTTGGGAATGATTAACACCAGTATTTGATATGTGGTGGAGAAATACATAGCCATTTAATTCAGGTATGTTTAGGACACTGGATCTTGATGACGGATGTTGAAGACTTCTCCTAACCCACAATGGTTCCCAACACTTCTCCTTAGGGACCAACTGTCTTGCATGTTTTTTTTTCTCCTTGCTGCCAAACAAATTAATTAAATGAATTTGTCACTAATCAGGCCATTGCATCACTTGTTGGTTTGCAGAAGAGCAGAAATCATTTAATAGTGGTGAAGTTTGCTGCACACTCTGAAATGTTATGGTTATTTTTGTTGTGGCAAAAGCAATACTTTGTTTTTTGCCTCAAAGTACTCATACTTTAGAAAAAGAACAGTTGCTGAACTCAGTGTAAGTGTCATCTACTGTAGCTTATGTCACAGCCGCAAAAGAAAACATATCAGCAACGCAGATGAGGCATTTTTGGATCGATAAACAGGAAGAGGATGCAAAGAACAAAATGCATTATATTAGGACTTCTTAAATGATCATATTTTCTCATCATCTGCTCAAATGATCCAGTACATACCAGATCTCAGTAGAGATTTCAGCACCTTACTTAAGAGGAGAATTTCCAATCCCAATACAAAAGGATAAAAACCCTCTCCACTTTTCCTGCTTAAAAACACCCTTCCACATCCTGACTTACCATGCAAGTGTTTTTGTTCATGCTGTGAGAAAGAAAGTTCTGCCTAGACATGTCTCAAACACGCAGCAAAAAAAAAACATATACACTGCTGCAACAACAAAATGAAGTAATTTTTTTCTTGTGGCTGGAAAAGAAGGAAAAAATTTCTCGCTTCTCATGAAGGATGTAACAAGTTTAAGGTCCTCAGAGTCTGACAGTGAGACTCAAAAAGCAAAAGTAAACCATATTCTATCTTTTTATATTGAAATAATGCTGCTGAAGTAAATCAGTGTCTTGTTTATTTCATGTAAAATAGTTTGCTTGTTTTTTAATGTTAAGTAATAAAATAACAGGTCAGTTAAACCGACAAACACTGGCTTTTGAACCAAAATATAACTAACACTAAAGAGTTAAGACTTCTAAATCAGGTTAGATTAAACTTTTTGGATATGTCCTAAAAATACATTATTATTTGCTAAAAAGAATATTATTTTAAACTGAATTATTAAATATACATCTCAATGCATAAAAAGTTAAACTGGTTGTTGGTTAAAGACAGACTTTCATACTCATTGACTGTTATGATGAGAAATGTATCTGTATTAAAAACACCTTATATTTTATTTACAAACCTTACTTTTAGTTCGGAGAATCACGAATACATGACTAGACATGCAACTGAAGGAAACTTTAGTTTGCCTAAAGCAAAGTCAAATGCCTTAATAAGAACTGTTATGTATAGAGGTATGAAAGCATGGAATTGACTGGCAAATTGCATTAAATTGATAACTGATTTAAGGAAATTTAAAAGATCATTGAAAGAACATTTATTAAATAAGAGGTTGTTTCATAAAACACTATTAGAATGATGTACAGTATAGAGGACTAGAGATGAATATGTTTGTGTGTATGTGTAAAGGTATATACATACACTTGGATGTTATTGTTAAAAAGTGTGAATCACTGTGCATTAGAAAAGTGTATGTGTATGTAGAGAAGAAGGTAATGGCAATGACAATAGTAAAATGAACAGGTTAGGTCACATGGTTCTATGACTGTGAGGGAGTACACAGTCTTCTTCACTTGCTGTGCTTTGTAGTTTGTTTTGATTAGTTTGGATTGTTTCTGTGTATGTATATGGGTATGTATGTATATGTATATATGTATGAGTATGTATGTGTATATGTGTGTATCTACTGTATTTATGTATATGTATAGATTATGGGAGATGTTGTTTTAATGTCCATATAATTTTATTTCATTTGTGTTTTTTTATTTCATATTTTTTGTTGGACCCTGGAAGAATAGCTGTAGCTTGCAACAGCTAATGGGGATCTTAAATAAAATTAAAATTACAAATTTCTCTTCATTTCCTCTGATTTGGACTCCAGTGTGAGATCAGATTTGGGCTGTTTCAAAACATGTCAGAGGACACATAATGTTACTAGACGAATTGCAATGCTAATGGGGGCAGAAAAAAGGCCATAAAGTACTGGCTGCAGAAAGCTTTACTTAAAAAAGCAGCTGTGGAAAGCCTCATCAGTAGGTCAATCCAATATTGGCGGTTGTTCAAGGATTCTAAATGTCAGACCATCGTCTTAAGGAAGACTTTCAACATAGTAATAAAAGTGAATATTTTGTTTATGATCATCCTCATGTGTTCAATTAAATCTGATTCCTTAAAAAGAAAGCAGTTTATTGCAGACAGTGAGGAACCTAAAACTCTTAGAACTCAGATATCTGAGGTTACTTTAACTTTGAATTGTTTGCACTTTTTACCTTTCCACTTATGTGTTTGTGTGACAGAAACCCCTTTGTATTGCACGTAATTGGATACTTTAACAATTTAATGAGTGTGGCCTTATGTTGTATTTTGTCCTGCAGGCCAGGAAGGCGGTAAGAGGGACGCTTTATGACATTACCTGAGCCCCGAGAAGACTCAGTTGGGAAGAGGAGACTGGAACAGAGAGAACTGGACTGAGACAAGCTTTTAAAACCACATGAACTCAAATGGAAAAAGGGTTTCATCAGGAAATTATATTTCATTTCATCAACTTCTGGCTAAAAGTGCATGTTCTGTATTGCTTCTTTTTAGCTGCTTGCACTTGTTATGGTTTCTCATGCACAATGGGACGTTTCTTTAAAACACACGCAGTAGTTCTGTTCTCCAGTATGTTCAAAGTTGTCTTATTCATATGTGCAAATTATTTACTGTTAAATGATGTCTCTTCAGCCCCTCCCCCACCTTTTACTGACAATCTGTGGATACTAAAAGTGCGTTTGTACTGTATTTATATAAAGAAGATGTAGACAAAATGCACTAACCATTGTTGTAAAGCTATTAGTTAACAAGCAGGATTTAATTTATGAAAATAGAATATTTGATAACTGTTTGTGTGTATGCTTTTTTTGGTGTATGGTGATGTTGATTGAGAAACTTGTTACCATGAACTTAGCTCTGTCATCTGTTCAAGAGTATTTAAATCAGCCTGTGGGTGGTTTGAATCTGATTTTAATGGCCTGGAAATAATTATATTTTCTAAAAATGCTTCTATGAATCAGAATTAATAAAACTGAATTAATAGAAGGAACTGAGGTGTCCGATTTCTTCAGCCTGTTTGCATAATTACTGTAGGTGTTAATTAATTATAGTAATCCACATATTTAATTTGTATTCATTTATTTACGTGCCTATATTTACACATGTATTTTATAAAGTATTTACTTTAACAATTTATTTACTTGCCTTTTTAAACTTCACTGTATTGGCGAATCTATAGAATAAAACATGCTCAGGAAATTACTTTATCTTAAGTAAATGAATAAAAAATATGAAAGAGGAAACTCAAACTTGTGATGGACTGGCTTACCTCATATGTTGTCCATATACTGCTGTTTAAAAAAAAAACATGGTTGTTTTTTTTTTTTTCAAAACTATTACATTTGACCCAGCTACATACCAAACAATTCAGTAGTTTTTCTTACTTATTTTAGAGACGAAACTGATATAGATTTATTAAACAAGGGAAATATTTTTAAACATCCAATTGTGGCTTACAGATAAAAAAAAATGTGTCCAATCAATTATTAAACAAGATATAAAAGGGATATTTTAACAGTTATATCAGGCTTCCAGAGAAAACTTTCTTTTTAATGCTCTCAATTCTTGGCTGGGCTTCATTTTACATCAATTACTGCATTAATTGTAAGCGTTGCATGGAGGTGATCAGCCTTTGGCACAAGTGAGCTGCAATAGAATCCCAGGTTGCTTTGATGGCAGCATCCAGGTCATTTTGATGCATGGGTCTTATGTCTTATCTTTGCCTCAACAATACAAAATACTTGTTCTCTATGGGACCTGGGTTTTGCCAGTTTATTCATAGACTACCTTGTTTGGGGACACATGCAAAGGGATTGGGGATCCAAGCTAAAATTTAATTGTTGGCTGTATCAAAAATGTTTCTTTATTGTTTTTTGTTGACACCAAAAATGGGGAATAACAACTTAAGGAAAAAGTTTGGTTAGATAAGATTCTATCTTACTTGCAACTTTCAGACGAGGGTGCAGGATTTCTTGTAAACAATATAATTCATATAAATTGCTAGTGTGGTAAAGGTGTGGTGAATATTTTCTGATCAATTTGGGCCATGCAGTGATATCTGAGTGTCCTTTGTAATCCACAGCTCTCTCCGAATGTTGTTGATAACCATGTCCATCCCTTTCTGCACCAATCTTCTGGTGACTTCCTCCAAAGGTATAATACACTGTGTTACATAGCTTAAATCATCTCAACAGGATTTCTTGAATAACAGGCAAGCAATGATTTTACAATTTCTAAAGATCTCTATTGTTTAGAAACTCAAAGCAACAGAATAACTGACTGATTGGCTGTAAGATGCTGTAAATATGGACCAACATTTTACAATGACAAAAATCAAAATCTACATAAGTCATTTTTTTCTTAAAATAATTGCATTTGTTCTTGAATTAAGGAGATGAAAGACACATTTTGCCAATAGAACGAGACAATTTACATTTAAAATAAGAAAACACAATTGCATTGTCTTATTTAAACTGCATATTATCTAACTATATCATTTTAAGAGTAAAAATACTAATTTCATTGGCAAACTATCTCATTTACTCAAATTAAGGGTAAATACACTTAATTTAAGATATTTTTTACTCATTTCTGGATAGTTTTTCCAGTGTAGAGAAATGATTCCAACACATTTTTGGCTGTGCATTATAAATAATCAAAGCCGTTCAAAAGGCACAATGGGGCCCAACTCCATCCTGATCACAGAGGCTTCAATTTCTCTTTTTTTCAAACTGTCTAGTAGTTGGTTTTTAAACATTTCTTATGTTGGCTGAGGGTGCCAGGTCCTTGTAAAGGAGCGGTTTCACTACTGAACAGCAGGTGGCAGCAGAGACTGTGATACTTTGGCCTGAAACACACACAATCATTGACTGTCCTGCTGTAATATAACTAATACCTGGTGATGTTGCATTACTTTCACTGCTATCATTGATTCAGTCACTGCTTTAAGATCTGGCGAAGACTTGCCAAATGTAACTGACAACTTCAACATGATGAGCTTTTAATATTCACATGTCCGGCTTGTGTGTTGCAGATGGGCATGTGTTCCCTGCTGTCTCATTGTATGAGTAAGCTCAGGCTTTCTGACATTCATTACCTTTTTTTTCCTCCCAGACAATGAAGAGTCTGTGAGCCTCCTGACAATGACAGGCTTTTAATTCCCTCCTTACAGTCACCTGATCTCCTGCGCTTCAGGACACATCACAGCCAGGGGTGTAGGATTCACAGTCTATCTGTCCTCAGCTAAGCCTGGTTAATTCACCCTTTTGTCTTTCCATACACACCTATATGGTGCCTTTTCTGCACATCATATACTAAGGTAAGTGCTTCATCATAGTGTAAGCAAACCTACACAATTTCTGCAGTCATTAACATTCAGTAAAGATGACCTGTTAAAGCTGTGGGTGTCTGAATTACTCAGTAAAAGGCTGAAATCATACAGCTTTTAATGAAAGGTGTGTTATATGGGATTGACCCAGGCAGAAAACTCCACTGCAGATAGTTTGACTCCTTACATAAACACCTTTTAACTGATATGAGTTTATAAAAGCTGGTTTGATCCACTGTGCACCTTCTGTGCTATACCAGCTAGCATCCTGTTTTGTCCCAAAAAGATTTTTGTATCCTTACAATGCTCTGCTCAATAATAATTCACTTGACAAAAGAATTCGGCTTAGTGCCCGAGCCAAAATATTGCCTTTAGAGTGGGGCACTGTCATCATAGATGCTACATAGTGCATTAATCCTCTTAGGAAGACCTAAGCACTGGCTTATCTGCATGCAGACAAGCAGCTTTTATCCAAGAGTTCTGGACAAATCATTTACAGTGATGTAAAAATGCAGGTAAAGTGGACTTGAATGCTCCTCTGTTCTTGTTTATGTTCAATTGTGTAAAAATCCTTCCTTTACATTATGGGTAGTAAGATAAAAAAAAAAAGAAAGTGAAATGAATATTTTGCAATGAGTGGCTCTCCAAGGGAAAAGCTGGGACCTTTTGAAATGCTGATCTGTTATAATCAAACCTTTTTGTACTTCATCTGAATAAATAGCAAACAGTAGAATATCCTAATTTTCTAAATAAAAATATAAAAAGTGGGCTGTGACTTTGTCTTCTTTAATGTGTGCAACCTTTTGTAAAAAAATATTTTCTAAATAATTAACAGCGACAAACAATGAACATCACAGACAGATCATAAAATGCTTTCAAGCAGCAGAATGGCTACCTCAAGATTAAGCATTTTACACCTCTGATAATAGCTTGATAATTTTCCAATTTACTCAAAGTAGTTAGCAAAGTAATACATTCAATGCTTATGAAAACATGAAGGTTCTGGTTATGCTCATCAATAACAGGACAAGGGACACTCAGGGAATGCAACTGAAGCTGCTGATGAGGATGATACTGATGACACGTCTCCTGTGTGTTTCAGATGATGGAAACCACAAGGCAGAAGACAGATGCACTGTGGACGATGAAGGCCCTATACAGGGGCGGTGCAGCTTGGACAGATCCGAGTTGCAGCCAATATCTGCTGTAAGAGCTTTGAGCAAGATGCATGATGCAACTGTTCAGTGGAAAAAGGCATGCTTGGCCCCACTGGCGTTCTCTGACTGAGGGCGCAGTAGTGTGACAGTAGCAGGAGTTTTCCAAATAGTGTGTGTGGCCTTATGCTTGGAGGCTGGCCTTGAGGAATAATGAGGGACTGGAAACTGCCTACAAAACAGGGCTGGAAAGTCAAGCTTATTTATATTGTACATTTCAAAACAGTAGCCTTCACCAAAGTGCTGTATATGGATATTTCACACATGCACAGAAAACCCCACAGCAAAGTAAAAAAGGAGGAAAAAATAAATAAATATCTCCTTAAGCCCATGGGCTGAATTTAGCCAATGATGAGATTGAACATAGCCCTTGAAAGGCAAATAAGGGATATTATACCATAAAGTAAATGTGTGTTGTTTTTTTTAGAATGTACCAATTGGCTAAAAATGAAAAAATGAATTAGTATATTAATAATAGCAGATAAGTGTGCTCTTTGTAAAGGAAACAATGAAATCTAAAACACATATTTCATAAAGACTTTATGAAACTAAAGTGGCCCAATATGAATATCATGAGTATGACATCCATGAGCTATGGTGTATCAGAAATAAAAGGTACTGATGTTTGAATGAGACTTAAAAACACTTGACAGTTAGAGTCTGCCTGATCTGTGGGGCAGTTTCTTCTACAGTTTAATGGCTTCTACCTTAAACACTCGACCTCCTTGAACCCACTGATCTCTATTTATTCACTGGATTGCTGATTGTCCATTGGTTGGGGTTGAAGTAAAGCCACCGGCCCCCATATTGGTACTCCCTTGTTAGACTCTTCGCAATGTAAACAATACATGCACTACAGAACAAAAATGAGGGGGACTTAAGAGTTTTACTAAAAAGATAAATTCATCACTTTGACATATATATATATATATATATATATATATATATATATATATACATATATACTGTATATAAATGTTTGTTGCTTTTTTTCTGTCAATATAACATGCAATATATATGATTACATGACTTTTTCAAATGAGATATACAACAGTACAAAAAAAACCCCAGTGTAATCCACTTAATACTACATTGACATTTCACAGTGAATTACTTTCTATTTACTCTACTTTCTATTTTCTTACGTTAGACAAAATCACAATGGCTAATTTAGTTAATATCTTACAGTCAGTCTGAAATACACTAATGTTTCAGTACATACTATACTATAGGATACATTTGCGGATATATGGATTTTCTTAGTTAGTACATCCACTGTGAAATCACCAGTGGAACGTCTTCCCACAGCTGGCAAACTGCTTGTTTTTGCCGTGGGTAGTACCAGCAATGTAAACGGTAGCTTCACTTTGAGCCAATCAGCAATCCAGTGAATAAGTAGAGATCAGAGCTTGAACCAACTTTGGATCTTGATAC